GGTGAAACAGATAAAGTGCACATGTATTAATCCATGGCTGAAAATAGTATATGTTCAGTAATGTTTGGTAAAAACTACAGTGCCTAGATGTTTAATCGGATTATTTAGCTGTTTTGAAAAAATGTATTATATATCCATAAGTCCTTTTTCAATAGGAAAAATTAGCTTGAGGATGAGTGCCACAGACAGGTTAGGGACCTTTGGTCTTTTCATGGCATTTGTAGATAATAACAAATATATACAATATTGCCAAGCTTATGCTTTAAACCAAACCACATTACCTGTTCTGTTTCGCATGTCGTCACTGCACTGCACTATCTATGCTCTCTACCATCCCCCCATCATCAGTGTCAAGGCCATAAGTATTACTCTCAAGGGGGATCTCCAAATGGCCAATAGGGTTTTACCACTATGGATTGACGTGTTTGACAGGGTTAACACAGAAGTTTTTTGATGTATTAAAAGAAAGCACCTGTAGCTCTTTGTTTCAATGTTCATTCCTGACCTTGAAAATACAGCAGTTAACAAAACAACCTCCCCTTGGCCATGATTAAAAGCTTTGTACCAGCTACTAAAGGGACCTTGTGATTGTCCTTTCATCTGCTTTCATCCTTTTTGTTAACTTTCCTGATTGAAACATAACCTGTGAAGGGCCTCACTGTTTATTGAAATTGGGTATCCTTGCTTGGAAACGGGAAGGTGTTTACCGTTCTACTTTGCAACCACGGTGTGCCTGTAAAGTAATGGCTGTGTTCGATTTGTTGCTGTAATTCTTTCTTTCCAGTTGAATCCTTATGAGAACAGATATATTGCAGCATCAGATAACTCACACAGCATAGATCAATTGATTCTCGGGCACGCTGTAACAAACTATTTGTGGCGCCAAACAGCATTCCCCTCATAGCTTGATGATTCGAGTGCTAAGCTGCTTAGTGAAGTGCATCACACACTGGATACTGTGCTTTTCCGTACAATATACAGTTTACACTTCCTTAAACCTCTCACAGCCTCATGCTCATCAGTGGGTGCAGGTGTCAGTGGTGGTAAAACGCTGGTTTCATTGATGAGACTTAGCTCCAGATAAAATACATAACCAAATGGACAAGCTTTAATAAGGTCTTAGTGTTAAGAGGAGTTCAAAGAGTGCCGTCTGACCTCTCTGGGTGGCAATGACAGTAATGTTGTGCCAATGCTCTCGTTCCCGGTCCAGTTCCATGGCTGTGGTAATGAGGCCGGTGTCTGGGGTGATACGGAACAGAGCCTCTGGGTCTGACTGAGGATCAATGGAGAACCTGGAAAAGAGAAAGAAGGGTGGGAGGAGGAAGATAGTTGTGTTGAGAGAAGGAAGGTAACCGTAAGTAAAATGAGGAAGGGGCTAGGGTGTAAAGAAAGAAAGAGTGAAGGGAGGAAGCAAGCAGAGATGGCAGTGGGGTGCAGACTGAAAGAGGCAGACAGGGCATGTGTGTGAGGGAGCGATAAGGAAGTCTGCATTCAAATGGCCAAAGAATTAATATAGGGAGATTATCGCAACTGATAGGAGCTCTTTTGAAGTGCCACAAATTATCTGAATATCTCTATGAATACACCAACTATCATTCCTCCCCACACACTTACTCTTAGCACTTTTGCCGGTGCTAATTGGGACACGGCTTGCTGTGGTTGTTAGAGACAAATCACTTACCTCCCTCCTCAAACTATTTGAGACAAAACCTACTGCAAAAGTGTGTGGTTACTGTCTGCTCTAGGGAACACTGAGTGGGCATTTGGTTGGCTTACATTTATTTGGTTAGCTCTTACTATTGTTGAAGTTTCAATCCAAAAAACAATATATATCCCTTGCTTAAATGTGTTAATGTTTTTTGCCTGACAATCAATATAAAAAACAAACAAATTCCATCCTCTAAAACATTCAATAAACTAAAAAATATAACTCTCAGCACCACTTTTAAAAGTGAAATTCCTGTGCTGTAGATAAAAACAGTATCGTGAGTTCATAAACAGTGAATACTTAAAGGAACATTTTGGGTTGGTTAGCTTAGCTTAGCACAAAGACTGGAAACAGAGCAAAATAGCTAGCCTCTGTCTAAAGGTAACAAATCCCACCAACCAGCAACTCTAGAGCTCACTAATTTTCACATCTATATCTATCTTTAATTTGTACAAAAAGAGCCAGGCTAGGTAGCAATCTAACTCTCAGAAAAAAAGGTAGTTAACATTTTCCAAAATGTCAGAGTAGAGTTTAATATTCAGACTGTTCACAATCCTCAGTAAAGAGATATAACAAAGGGCACAGAGGGAACAGCGTTCTTTATCAACTAAATGTATAGGAAATATAACAGTACTACTGAAATTATATGCTATATGAGGAGAGAAGCCACCTGCTATACCTGATATTATTGGTAAGACCAGTATCAGGGTCTACAGCGCTGACCCGGCCCACAGTGCAGGCCGGTGGGCAGTTTTCAGACACATCCATGTGGTATCGGGCTCGGGAGAATCTCGGGGGCTCATCTGCATCCAGTACTGCTACTCTGATGGAGGCCCGGTCTTTGAAGGGGCCTCGACGCAAGAAGCGAGGATCCACTATGGGGTTGAGGACCTCCACAGAGAAGGAGTAGGAGCTCCGGCTCTCATAGTCTACTGCCTGGGGAGGACAACGGAGAAGGAACTTGGATTAAAAATATTGAATGTATAAGTATATAATCGTCCAGGGTTTAGATGCAGTATATGCTGTGAAATGAGTAATGGTGACACGTCCTAATAGCAAGAAATTATGCAAATTACCCTGTTACAAACATCAGATCCTATGAAGTGTTTTGTGCTTTCATTTGATCCAATTCTCACACCAAATTTTTCACGAATGACTGCTAAATTACCTATCAAAAGCAGGGAGATGGCAAATAATGAATTATTCCTACAGATAACAGCTTGCAGAGGCTAGAGAATGGTCACATCTAAGATCAGCCAAGAATGACTTGGAGTAAATAATACCATGGTTACCTTACATGTTGTGACGCTTGGATTTTTGAAGTGATACTTTGAAGGCTGCTGTGGGTGGACGCTTAGATGGTGGGCTGTGTGTCAAGTAAGAAAAGATTTTCAAGAGGTGTTGATGTTACAGCATTGCCATTGCCAATGAGATCCTGATTGAAAGAATCCTCAAGAGCTTCCACCAACTGAAGTAGCTACATGCTTGGGTGCGGGTTTTACATTGCTTAGAGTTAAGCAGAGTGGGAATATTCTTGTCATGCTAAGACTAGAAGATATATAGCTGCAGGGTTAACTGCCAGAAAGTTGAATGTTGCTGTAGGAGTTGTGTAAGATTAGTGCTGCTATCTTCATGCAGCACAGATGGATGTAGGCATGCGGTACTTGGGGTATTTGCATTGAACATTTGCATTTGAACATTGAACATTTCTAACCCTAACTCCAGCATTGTTTGGTGCTGCATTGTTGGCAACACACTTGGAACTGTGTTGGTGGGTACCTGGCAGGTAATAGTAGTGTTTTCTTAGAATGTTACAAACATGTTGGTAGGAGTAGTTTTAGCCCTTGTGAAACATGTGGGAGTGAAACTTGGACAAAGTTGTTTTTGTGAACATGCAGCATGGATTCGGAGTTAATTTTCAGAGGTAATAGAGATCGTCTGCTTCCCTGCATAGCTGCGATGTCCACAAATAATTTCCATAAACAACAGATTTGAAATTGAAAACAAAACCACACAGTTTTTCATAAAAATGCTTCCCTTGTTTATCATCTCCATCACCATGGCGACTCCACTATCACCATGGAGACCTGGCTGTGAGAAGCGGCAAAAATTCCTTTGTATCCTTGCATACTACAGGTAGAGGAGATTTCATTTGGGATAGGGGCTCAGGCCCCAGTGATTGTTTGTTACAGAGAAGTTATGAAGCCTATTTGTCTGAGGTGTCCGTGTGATTGCGTGCCACATTCCCACCAGCTTGCCGGCTCTGAAGCGATGAGAGCCTCTGATCGGGTTTGCCGAGATGATTGTTAGCGAGGGCAGGGGCACAGGTAATCATATACATCCACTGTCACACACACACACACACACACACTGACATTCTCCTGCTGTTGATTACATTTCAGGAAAGCAACATGTTTGAGTCTGATTCAAAATACCTGTTTGAGGTATTTGCGTAAGTGTGTGTGTGTGTGGCTGTGTATGCATGTACAAGTGGTTCTTTTAGGCCTATGTGTCCTCAGATCCTCTGTCAGTATGAGTGTGGCCTTAAAGTAAGTGTGCATATGAATCATCTCAGTGTGATTGGCACAGAGAGCCATGTTGAGAATATTCGCTGTCAGATTCAAACACGGTAAAAAAAATCATTCCGAGGATCCCAGCGGCAGTGGGAATATTGATATCCTCTCGCTTGCGTTCTCTCCTTCCTTTCTGATCTCTCTTTTCCATTTCTCCGTCTTTTTTCTTCCCTCTCTCTGAGCTGTAAACCAGAGTAAACTGCTTTACAGAAAATCAGCAGTTTTAGAAAGAGGTGAAGATTGATTAAAAATTATGCAGAGAAAAGGGCAAATTGAAAGTCTTGGAAATGTAGGCAATTTGGGGAAAATCTCTGCAGGAAAAATAAATAAACAAGAAGAATTGTCTGCAAAGATGGAGAGTGTGTGAGTGAGTGTTTGTGTGTGTAGAGGGGGTTTAGACGTGTAGATGGAGGGAGAAGGTTCTCTAACGGGGTCCCCGTTACAGGGAGAGAGAGAGAGAGAGACAATCTGTCTGAGGAGGAGAGGTGTCACTTACACTGTGAGCACACACTCATCACCCCCCACCCTCCCTCCATCCAGCGCTCCATCACTCCGTTCCCCCCTCCTTCACACACTTCATCACCCACCCCGCTACCCACCTCCAACCCATCTTTTTCCCTCTAGTGTGTGTGCGACAGGGCGCCAGCTCTGACAAACCACAACACACACACTCATCCTTCTCTCTCAGTCTCCCTTACAGGAAGCACTTATCACACAGCGACCTAACTGTTGTTTTTCTATGTTTTTGTGTTTTTCTGTCTTGGGCACATTCCTCAAAAATGTTTTCACACACGCAAGTGCTCTAGTGGCTCCTGTGAAACACACACACACACACCTTAAAGAACTCCCTGTTTTAGCTTAAAAACGCCCCCTCACAGTTGTGTCATATCATTACCAGTGTTCATCTATCTCTCCTGATGTCTAGCCAACATGTTTTGTCAGCCATTTTAGTTCCTAAATATTACATCTTACATCCAAGAGTTCATTAGTGTCGCAGCTAGGGGCAGCCAGACCTTTCTTCACCACTAAAAATGCTCTGGATGGTTTGTATTTCTTAAAACCAATCACAATCATCTTGGCGACAGTGCCCTTGCAAAATAGTGTCGAGGGAATTTGGTGGAACATTTGCACGTGGGGAAAAGCTGCTAGCTTGTTTGCGTTCATACCAATAGCGACCAAGTTAGGGCAACTTGCGTGTAGGTTGCTAGCTCGGAGGTTGTTGTTGTTGGTTCAAGTAGCAATGGGGACTTTGGCGGTTACATATGTAGCTAACTCTCCTTTTAACGTCTACCGGCTGGTAATGGCTACCATTTTTACCAGATGCCAAGACGGAGGTTTTGAACTGCTAGCTTAACGTTAGCTTAGCGAGGTTTTAGCAGAGGTAGCAGAGGCAGTGCAGAGTGACAGAAGGGAATAAGAATGAGTGGTGGGATGGTGTAAATATGCCAAAGACTGTAACACTGGTCAACACTGTATACTACTAACTTATAAGAGGTAGAGGCAGTATTTGTGCTACTGCTATTTTCAGCTGCATGCTGTCAATCTTCCTTCTGTCAAACTCCACACTATCCATAGTGCTGAGAGCTTATTTCTTTATTTATTTGTCATGTTGCCTCATAATAGAGGCCCACAGTATATAATACATTTTTCACATATTTTGGGGGGTCTAGAGGACAGAATTGAACCCAGGGCAATAAAATGACTGTACATATAATTTACAGACTCAAAAAAATGATTTAGTATTAAGTTACTCTTTAAACAAATTGTGTAATATTCACACATTTTCTATCACATGACCAAATGCTGAAAATATTCATACATGCAAGTGTTTCAATTATAGGTGATTATTTGTTTGTACAGTCAACAGAAGTACTTTAGCTGCTTTAAGTGATTTATATGGGTGAAATGCCATGAATCCACTGGTTCCAGCTTCTGTGAGGTATTGAGCCTTTTCTCAGTTTTTATATCATTGTATATTGAATATCTTTCTGCTTTGGACAGCTGGTTGGACATAAACAATTTGAAGACTTAATCTTTGGCTCTGGAAAATGCAGTTTTTACTATTTTCTGACCTTTTACAGACATGAACAATTCATAATCAAGAACAAAATCAATAAATGACTCAACACCTAAAATATTATAGTTGCAGCCCTATGCTTGGACCCATTATCTCTAGTTAATGTTGGCCTCCTCTTGCACACACATACACACACACACACTCTACAAGTGTAACCTTCTGCTGTCCTGCCATGCAGTGTTCCTAGTTCCGTTTTGAAATTCAAATTTCTCTATACAATTTCCCTTTTAAATTGGCTTCACAGTTAGCAGAAATTAATTAGCTAACCTGCATGCTAGACTGGTGATACATAATACATCTCGACTCAAAGAGGCCAACCCACGGGCATACATGCTCGATTGACAAAAGTGAGTGTGTGTGCGCGTGCATGTGCATGCATTACAGTAAATGTATATCACTGCGGGCGAGGCTTCAAATCACAGAGGTGGTGCTTCCCCCTGACTGTTCTGAAATTGATGGAGAATAAGAAGAATCTGTAAATGTGGCTGAATGAGAGGGAACATATGCATACCTGAGCTCACCTAGGAGGATGTGTGCGTGTGCAACACAGGGTGTGTATACATCTGCGTGCATGCTAGTGTGTGTTCAGCGCCCTGCTGTCCTTGGCAACTTGAGTTCTTTCTTGATTTTGTGCATTCTAAATCAAGATCATACATCACATTTGTCTGATGACAAATGCAGCTTTGGACATTTCTGCCAACAAGCACAACTGCAGAGTTGAGAGAACAAAGACTCTAAATCTCCCTTTTGACTTTGTTCTTCCTCTGCCGCCTTTCCTTCCCTCTGTCACTTGTCTGTTGTCTTCTGTCTTATTTCTCTCTCAGATGTCCCATGTCTTTCTTTTTTTCCCCAACTTGTGAGCAAGACATTGGTCTCTCTTTTTTTCTTTCTCTGTCTCTCTCCATCTCTCTCTCTCTCTTTTTTCCCTCTGAGGAGATTAACACAATCTCTCCTTCGCGTGAGAAAACAAACACAGATAATCCTGGGCGCGCTGCTGGCGTGTGACCGAGGATTAGCCAGCCGTTTTAAGTGAGAGCATATGGAAATAATAACAGCAAACTGACACATGCGTGAGCTAGCTTGTCCCCCAGGTAAGAGGAATGAAAGGCGCACAAATAGCAGGCTTACACAGCTCACAGCACCCCGAAAACATACCTCAAAAGGGAACCTCCTGAATTGGGATACCGCTGGATTGGTATTAATAATGCTGAGACATGCCTTGTGTTGCATGGAGTGATCCGACTTTGTTATACATATGCTATTAAATAGTACACGTGTAATGAGGT